ACACACACACACACACACACACACACACACACACACACACACACACAAACACACACACACAGGGGCACGCGCATGCGTGTGCACACACACATTCTCAAGCCACTCTGCACCCATCTAGGTCTAGAAAGTGTCCCGTCCTCCTCAGTGGACACCCACCCAGCAGGTTGTCCTGGACAAGGTCCCACATTCTGGCTTCAGCCACTAGAATAATCCTGGATTTGGGACTTAGGTCTTGGCTGACTTAGGTCACCCTGGATTTGGGACTTAGGTCTTGGCTGACTTTGTCTGACTTAGGTCCTGCATCCGTTCCCCCACTGAACCTTCTGATTACTTATTTTACTACAATATGAAACAAATACGTACTCCTTACCTTAGTTTTATTATTAGCCAACATTTACTGGCTTCTTACTATGAACCAAGCACTACACTGAATATTTACATGAATTATCTCTTTAAGATTTTATTTTTATTTATTTAGAGAGAGAGAGGGTGAGCACGAATTATCTCCTTTAATCTTTGTAACTCCCTAGGGTATGTTTTATTATTGCAGCCATCTTAAAGGTGAGGAAACAGAGGCTTACCTAAGTTAAATAACTTGTCCAAGGTCACAAAATGTTAGAGTCAGTACCCTTGACCACCACACTATAACCTGATCTACAGCCTCTTCTCAGCTGGGCCCACTTAGTACTGATCAACACACACACAGAGCTACTCCCTCTGGTCTCGAGACAATTAAAGCGGAACCAAGAACCCATCCATTCACCTCTCCACCTTACTCACAAGCATCCCTACTCCGGCCAAAGTTCTTGAGAGCTACTTTCCGGTCATGGTGACCAAGAGAAGAGCAGATCTAAACTGAAGGATTTGGCATGGGGCTGCCTTATTCCTGTGTACTCCAAGCTCCAAAGCTCCTAGCAGAATTCCTGACTCCTGAGGCTAGAGTAAAGGTAGAAGGTTCGTAGGAAACTTCTGGAGGGCCAGCCACTCCCAGAGGTCAGCTTCACACATGTTAGTTACCCAACCTGCTATCTGTTCTCCACACAGGCCTCTGGTTTACTATCTGGGTGGCCCTGCTCTTACCACCGGGGCCGGAAGCAAAGAGCAGAAAGGATTAAAGCTGGGGCCTTGGCAACAAGCACACCTGTGTTCCAAATGGCTCTGTTTTTTTTCATCTGTCCAACCCAAACCATCCTATTTCCTCCAGAATGTAGTTGTGCAGATGAAGTGAGGTGAGGCAACATTAAATGCTCATTACGTAGTAAGTGCAGTCCGCTCAGCCTGGGACATGTTTCCTAGGTTCACCACGTATATGCTCTGCTTCCACCGATACTTCAGCACATAATGCAAATGGCAGCCCACTGAGCTCCGTTAAATAAAACCAGCACTAACTGAGCACCTTCTAGATGCTGAGCACTAATGGCAGGTATTGAGGACACGACAATGGATAAGGAGTTCACAGCCTTCAGGGAGATAGGAGAGAAACAGCTCGTTTCCATGGCACACAGTTAAGTGTGGCGGGGAAGAGCATGCAGCTCGAGCAGGGGGAGCTGAGTCAGATCACAGGAGGCCTTGGGGGCCAAGATAAGGAGTTCGAGCTGAATTCTGAAGGCAGTGAGAAGCCATGGAAAGGCTTTAAGCAAAGGAGTCGAATGCACAGATTCACGCTTTAGTAAAGGATCATTTAAGTAGCGATGTGGAGAAAGAAGTCAGGAGGGTGGGGGCACCTGGGTGGCTCAGTCAGTTAAGCGTCTGACTTGAGGTCATGACCTCAGGGTCCTGGGATTGAGCCCCTCATCCGGCTCCCTGCTCAGCTGGGAGTCTGCTTGTCCCCTTCCCCCACTCCCCCTCCCCCTGCTCCTCCCCCTGCCCGTGCTTTCTCTCTCTCTCTCTCAAATAAATAAATAAAATCTTTTAAAAAATTAAATTAAAAAAAAAAAAGAAGTTAGGAGGGTATGAATCACCCAATCCAGCAATGGTGCCCTGGACAAGACAGTGCAGGGCGACAGAGGAAAGGGATAGATTTCAAATGTGTGTAGGTAGCGAACACCAAAGGCCTTGACATGGAACACTGTCCAGCCCCTCAGTGTTTGGAGAGAGAGGTGATACAGAGGCCTTGCATCCACCACAGTTTTAAAAGCAAGTCTCTCTTATGGTAACTGAACTTGCATTTGGCTACCTATTGCTTGTGGATTTGGTTAGTCAACTAACAGTCATCATCCACTTAAATGCCAGGCACTGCCTTCGGTACTTGGAGGGTTCCAGCGACCAATCAGTTGAGTGAGAAGTATCAGCGAGGACCACGGGAGGGGGAAAGACACAAGCACAACGCCCGGACAGTGGTGGCCTCTGTCTGGACTGTGGAGCACAGAGAGGATGCAGGCTTGAAACTCCTGCAGGATCAGCCTGCGCAGAGCGTACGCTAAGGAGTTGAACTCTAGGTGGTAGACACAGGGAGCCACTGAAAGTTTTTAACAGGGGAGAGAGGGTTGCAGCTGAGCCTCCACA